GCCGTGTTTTGTGATTGTAACTCTGATAGAGGTATATTGTCATCTGATGAAAAATCACTGTCGTAGTTACTTTCAATTACAATTTCCACCGGCGCTTGTAACTGTGATGCCGGTAGGTTATTCACTGTAAGATCATTTTCTGCTCCAGAATTTTCATCTGTCAGGTCGGCTGCAGCGTTTACAGGAGGAAATATAGTTATTTCATCAACCTGGCTGACAATGTCGTCATTGTCCTCAAGCATAGCAAGGGCTTCATGAAGCGAAAACCCCCTGTAATTAGATGAACGTGATAGTCGTTTATTATCCTAATGTCCTATATATAGTACACCCGTCTTTCACCCCCCTAATTTATACTCTAATTTACTGAATAATGCAAAACTTTTAAATAATACTAATTATACAACTATTTATTGTTACTGTAATCAAAGAATCATAATATTATTCTAATTTCTATAATTGAAAATTACCTTACCTTTCAAAGCGAACCGGGCAATAATCCATTTCCAACTTATCTTGACTTTCGGATGCACTTAAAACAAAATCTAAAGAAAACACCTAAACTGCAAGTTATCACTCTCACTGCTACATCTAAAATGCACGACTTGATGTAACGTGCGCATTTCCAGGCGCTCATGACCTTGCAAGTTTCAACAGGAATTGACCGTCTTAAATGTAGTACATTAGGCATATCTGGGTTAAATCGGTTGTAATTAAGAGAAATAAATTAAAAATATCTTTTTTTGATTTAATCCACTTACCTTGTTTATAATACCCTAGATTAACCAATTTTGAGTTAAATACAGCCTTTTAAACCAATTAAATAAGACTTTCTTCTTAAGAAAACAAATTCAATTTCAATTTTGACAAGCACTTGCAATGTTTGGATCTTAATCACCATGGTAACCGAGTCAAGTTGGATAACCTAACAATAATAAAATTATAACCGTTAATATTTCGCTTTATATTTTAATATTTATTTTATTTTTTTGTATATTACTTCTTTAATGAAATTCCTGTATAAATAAAAACATAGAAATGTCAATTCTTCCAATAACGTCATAGCAAGGCCTTTGCGGGGGGATACGTTCATATGGAGTTGGATAATCTTATACAGATGGTTACTCAACGGACCTCGAGTTTTGGTGAAAGGAAATTTGCCATTTTGAGTGATTTTACAGCCAATTTCATCGTTGATCCAGATCTATCCAGGAATTAGGGATTAGGAGGCGGTGTCTAAAACTGATGTTAAAAGAATTAAAAATATAAATTTAAGGATATGCAGGATAACGATCCTGGATTTTATAGCTACTAAGGATCCTGATTTTAATCCAGTTGAGTACAAACTGTTGAATAATGCTGTATATAATATGTAGAAACGATTTTGACTATTAATCTTTTAAGACTCTTCTTAATTACTTATAAACAAATTCTTTTGTTCTTCATTATCACTTAAAAAGATAAGAATAATACTAAGAATAAAATCCATTTTTAAACTCTTAAAAATTATAAATAATAAATAAAGTAGTATCTCTATCACATAAATTCATATTGTTGATAAAATCCTAAGAAACAACAAAATGAAAGGAAACAATTAGAGGTTAAAAAAAGTACCAAGAAAAACATTAATTGAAATGTTTTATTAGTTTCACAAAAAAAAAAATGCTTCCAAATAAAAAAACCGACAAACTTGAACTATTACATCAGAGTAGAATTAAAAGTCGAGCCACAAGTTTCAAAAGTTCATAAAGGACCCTTTTATAACTAAATAAAAACGGGAAAAAAATTTGTTGAAACAAAAAAAAAATCTTTTAAACAAAAACAAATAATACTGTTTCTTCTCTTCAAAAAAAATAAAATAAATGGAATGATATTTAAGAAAAATTAAATTGTTTAATCAACTTCTTCGATAGTTGGTCCAGTGTTTCCACCAGCTCCAGGTGCTGGTCCTCCTGGTGCAGCTCCAGCTCCACCGGGGAATCCAGGCATACCACCAGGAGCACCACCGGCAGCTTGATAGAATTTGGTAATGATTGGATTGCAGACTCCTTCCAATTCCTTTTGTTTGTGTTCGTATTCTTCTTTGTCGGCCAATTGATTCGCATCTAACCAAGCAATAACTTCGTTACACTTCTCCATGACGGTGTTCTTGTCGGACTCGCTGATTTTATCTTTAACCTTCTCATCTTCCATGGTCGCCTTAATATTGAAGCAGTAAGACTCCAAAGCGTTTTTAGCGGAAATGGTGTTTCTTTGTTTTTCATCTTCGCTACGATATTTTTCGGCATCATTAACCATACGTTCAATTTCCTCTTTACTCAAACGTCCCTTATCGTTGGTGATAGTAATCTTATTTTCTTTATTGGTGGATTTTTCGATGGCGGTTACGTTTAAGATACCGTTAGCGTCGATATCGAAGGTTACTTCGATTTGTGGAACTCCTCTAGGTGCTGGTGGAATCCCGGTAAGTTCGAATTTACCCAAAAGGTTGTTATCTTTAGTCATGGCTCTTTCTCCTTCGTAAACCTGAATCAGCACGCCTGGTTGGTTATCAGAATAAGTTGTGAACGTCTGCGTCTGTTTCGTAGGGATCGTAGTGTTACGCTTAATGAGGGCGGTCATTACGCCTCCAGCGGTCTCGATACCCAACGACAAAGGAGTAACGTCCAAAAGCAACAAATCCTGTACCTCTTCCGATTTGTCGCCGTGCAAGATTGCGGCTTGAACGGCGGCACCGTAAGCGACGGCTTCATCTGGGTTAATAGATTTATTCAATTCTTTACCATTGAAGAAATCTTGAAGGAGTTTTTGAACTTTTGGGATACGCGTGGATCCACCAACAAGGACGATGTCGTGGATTTGAGCTTTATCCATTTTAGCATCCCGAAGGGACTTCTCAACTGGTTCCATGGTCGAGCGGAACAAATCGGCGTTAAGTTCTTCAAATCGAGCGCGAGTTATGGATGTGTAAAAGTCGATTCCTTCGTACAGTGAATCAATTTCGATGCTGGCTTGTGTCGACGATGATAAAGTTCTCTTCGCTCTTTCGCAAGATGTTCTCAAACGACGTAACGCCCTCTTATTGGAGGTCAAATCTTTCTTGTATTTCCTCTTAAATTCCTGAACAAAGTGATTTACCATTCTATTATCGAAATCTTCCCCACCCAAGTGAGTATCTCCAGCTGTTGATTTCACCTCGAAAATACCATCCTCGATCGTTAAAATGGAGACATCAAAAGTTCCACCGCCCAAATCAAAAATTAAAACGTTTCTTTCTCCAACTCCCTTTTTATCTAAACCATAAGCAATGGCGGCTGCTGTTGGCTCGTTGATGATACGCAAAACATGTAACCCTGCGATTGTTCCAGCATCTTTAGTTGCTTGACGCTGGGAGTCGTTGAAATAGGCGGGGACGGTGATTACAGCGTTAACAACTGATTTTCCCAGGTACGCTTCGGCGGTTTCCTTCATTTTGGTTAAAACCATGGAGCTCACTTCTTCTGGATAGAATGATTTTACTTCTCCTTTGTATTCTACTTTGATCTTTGGCTTGGTGTTGTCGTTAATTACATCGAATGGCCAATGTTTCATATCAGCTTGGACTGTAGTATCATCGAATCTACGTCCAATCAATCTTTTAGCATCTGTTTTAAACAAAAAAAAAGATTAATATGGGGTTTTTACACTTTAAAAATAATTTATAACATTTTAAATCTTCAGTAATTTATGGTAAACATAGTTTATTCATAAACTCCAGTCTGGCATGACTTTTAATCTCATCATTTACAAACTTAAAAATAAAACTTATTAGGGTTAATATCATTTTTATTAAATATACATATTTCTATCATGAATGATTTTACATTATCAATATTTAAATCATTTTCTGTTCAAATCTTACATAGAATATAAAATTGGGGTTCTTAATTTTTTTGAATATCATGAAACGAAATTGTTTCCAGGGAATACTAAGATTTTGTCAAGGAAGTTGCATACAGCCAAAGCGCTACAGTTGAGACCCATTAAAATAAAACGCAATCTTTTAAGGCAGGGAAGATATATTTTCTAACTGTAATATAATAATATTGATGTTGAAGATGCACCATCTTTCTGAAAGGCCACTTGAAGCTGATGAAGACACAATGAAGGCATTAATTTAAATTTACCTAATTCATAATCATTTGAAACGCTTAGGTTTGAGAAATATCATTTTGAAGTTGAAAAAGTCTACTTTGCATTAAGAAATGACGTTTAGAATGTCATAATGACATTTTTTAAGTGATAAATGTCATTTTAAACTACAGGGTGGTTCAAATTCAATGTCCAAATAGGCTAACTAGGAAACATGATCTCGTTTTTCGAGAAACTGCTAATGCCGAAAACCTCAAAGCGCTATGGTCCTTGGTTTTTCTCCTAGAAGCCAAAATTGAAAA